GCCGGTGTTGCCGTCCCTCCAATTGCAACATTCATGCAACCATGGCGCCGCTCGCCAACCAAGCCGGTGGTAGCAAAAAAACAGACGGTAGTAACAAAAATTCGTTGTCCCAGCAAAACCCAAAAAAAAAGGTAGTAACAAAAATGGCCGCTGGTTCCAGCAAAACACAAAGCTGGTAGTAGCAAAAATCGGGAGTGGTTGTAGGAAAAAAATTGATGCAGCAAAAAATCACAGCGGCAACGGCACCACGGTCCTCTCAATTGCAACAAAATCTAAAGAAGGTTCCAGCAAAAAAAAGAAGCGGTTCTAGCAAAAAATTCATGGAGGCCATGGATGAAGCTTCTTAAGTACATTGTTGTAGCATTCACCCGACGATGGGGAGTCGCCGGTTGCAGCTCTCGGAAACATGGATGGAGCTTTTGTAGTGTACGGTTGTAGCATTCGTCAACCTATGTTGTCGGCGGTTGCAACTCCCGTGTGAAAGGGTTGCAAATCTATGTAGAGTGGATGTAACCTCTGCCGGATACAGTTGTAACAAATGATGACAACCGCGTCTCCAGCTGCAGCTCTGGTTCCAGCAAAACACATCACCAGATGCAACATCTCCAACCGCCAGTTCTAGCATATATGATTGCTTGTTCCAGCTTCCACATCCGATGGTTTTGGGAAAATCCATGGCTTGTCGCTTCCTCATGCATCGCCCCCCTATCTTGTGGCTTCCTCGTGCATTGTCTGGTCTCACCTTGAAGCTTATGGGGTCTCTTTTAGTCCAGAAAACAACAACTGACATTGGGCACTGAGTTAATAGGTTAATTTTCGAAAACAATATAAAACGGTATATAAAGCATACAAGATTGATAGTATAATAGCATGAAACAATTAAAAATTATAGGTACCTTGGAGACATATCAGGGAGTATCCAAAACAGTCATGTGTCATCTGCAAAAGGAAGTTATTAGCCTCACGAAAGAGTGATGCTTTAAAGGGATATTCTTACTCGCTTCAAGCGAGAGCACATCAGCAAGTACAAATCTTGCTCAGTAGTCATCTTGCAACGATGAAGCACTTCCGGGCATGCGCCAGGTGGTCGAGCGAGATCTTTGAACGCGATCTAAAGGATAACGTTGGTCGCCAGGCCGAGCAACATGGGTGCTAAGGTGTCAGACAACCATAGTTTCTTTTTGTAGTAGTTTATGACCTAATCGAATGCTCCCGTTACAAGAAGAACAAAACGTCGCTTTTGATATTTTTAAAATTATAGGCTCCATGCAACCCAAGAGCCAATAAGTTTCAATAAAAAATCTGAAAATAAGTACACATGTACTTATAAATCTATACTA